AAAACCACTGCGCTACGCGTTTAAACGCCTGCTGCACACAGGAAGCTGAGTGAAGTGGAATTTGCAGAACATTTTTAATGAGGCTTTAGGAGAAAAAAAAAGTGGAAACAGATGCGTCGTTCTGAGAGCAAAGTCCAGGGTTTAACAGGCTCTGAAGGTTTAAATTTTTTTTTTTAAGGGGTCAGGTTAACATCAGAGCGTTCCTATTTGTGGTCAGAGCATAAAAGCAGTTTGAAGTTTATAGACGCAGCAAATGTAGGGCATGGCTGACACATGTTCACATCAGGGACGTGGCGAATCCATGACTGTGTTGCTGTGTTTATTAGTTTGTGCAGTTTCGTGTATGCATAACCTTTACCCCGGCGACCTCTGACCTCTTCAACTCCACATTTGCTAAATAAGCGCCACCTCCAGCCTGACTGTCTACATCTGTTTGTCTTGTTAAAAGTTGCAGTACTAGTACTCTCCATGTAAAAACTTCATTTTTTTAAAGGGTCATTTAATACAACCCGTTCTGCTGTCCCGAAGGTTGTTAAGAGCGCCGTCATTATTTTACATTATTATTATTTTTCTTTTATTATTCACTATTTATTCATTTAGTTGCACTGTCGGCGTCTGATTTAACTGTCAACTATCACGATAATGTTTTTCATGTCTTTTTTTCGAGTCTTTTTTGTCTACATCTGTTTGTCTTGTTAAAAGTTGCAGTACTAGTACTCTCCATGTAAAAACTTCATTTTTTTAAAGGGTCATTTAATACAACCCGTTCTGCTGTCCCGAAGGTTGTTAAGAGCGCCGTCATTATTTTACATTATTATTATTTTTCTTTTATTATTCACTATTTATTCATTTAGTTGCACTGTCGGCGTCTGATTTAACTGTCAACTATCACGATAATGTTTTTCATGTCTTTTTTTCGAGTCTTTTTTGTGTAACCAATTTCCCATTCCACTGATAAACAGCGTCGCCTGCTGGTGAATCAGCAGAATGACACACAATGTGTAAGCGTATTATGCGAGGAAAAAACGCAGTGTAGAAAAAATGGAGAAACCATAGCAGTCATCTCAACAACAATAATAAGAAGTGACGGTATAATATTAATTTTAATACCATCAAAAAATGTCGTTGTCCATTTTTTTTTAAGGAAAAGTTGAATACTAGAGAAACAGAGCTACATCCAGCACATCTTACGGCATAAACAATCCTAATGATTTGAGATTCCTGCGCAGTGTTGACATACTAATATTAATACCATCCTCATTTTTTTAACCAAGTATCAGTTTTTTTCCCAGTGCCTCGAACCGAAAATGTAGGAATAGACGATTAGCTGCTATGTATGCTAATTCATTTGACGTTTCTTTTTTCTTTACGATATCTGTAGTTCCCAAAGTTGTTGTTTCTAAAGTGTCCTAAAATGTTCTTTGATATTCTTTACAGTGGTAAGGATATAATATATAAGGATTAACCTTCAATAAGAGGAGAGAGGCTTAGAGAACTGAATTTCATGAATGCATTTTGATAAGGGATTTTAAATGTGATTTCTGTAGCTTTGTCTTGATTACGAATCAAGCACACCGAAATTTAATTTGCATTTACCAAGACGAGGAGTACTATGATATGAAAGTTTATTTACGAAACAGCTCTTAGGTGCAGTAAAAATACAATATTTTTATTGAACGCACCTCTTACACCAAGTTGAAGTAAAACAATTTTCCAAACATTTATCATTTCTTTCCGTGTACTCCCCGAACAGCGACAGCAGAGGGCGCTCGAGGAGAAGAAAGCCACGTTTGCTACGCTTCAGAACCCGTAACACCTCACAGAGCTGGAGAAACAAAAAAACAACCACCGATACAGTTTCTGTTTCGTGAAGGAAAATTAAAAAAGTTAAAGTTAAAGTTAAAAAAAAGAAGGTAAAGTTTAGTTAAAAACAGTCACAATTACACAACGTAAACCACAGTGACCTAATGATAGGATGCTTTTTTCATTCTGTGTCATTTCCTCACAGTGACTGACAGTAGCCTGCAAAACAGCTTTGGTCTGATTGATGAGCTGCCCCTTTTTTAGCCTGTGCAAATCGTCCATGGAAATTAGTGGCGGCCAATCACAGAGGAGGTGGACGGGAAACTGCACCTCAGCTATTACGCTGAAACAAACAAACAAAAAAAAAACAAACAAAAAAACATCTCTTTGGTAGTGAACCTTAACATTAAACTCCTTTGTAGCCTTTGTAGACACAAGAAAACATATTAAAATATCACTTCTAAATAAGTGTAAATGACGTTATGAAATACTTTCCGGACGACTGACTTCAACGAATGATCAAATGACTTTATATCGATATAACATGTCGAACAGTTTTCTCATGTTCAGAGCAGAGGTTTTATCGTTTTCCCGACCTTACTGCCTTCATTTTTATAGATGTTACTTAAAATTAAAAATCCAAATATATATATATATATATATATATATATATATAAATAAATTAGGCAGAGAAGCTGCTGCTTTCGTAACCCGGTGAAAAGTTCAATTGGTCAGGAAAGTTTTGCTAAGGAGTTTTTTTTTTTTTTTTTTCTTTT